CATTCTTGATCATTTATAATACCTAGATATGTTTAAAAATGCAATTTAAAGCATTTTTGGTTTTGATCATAGGAGGCTGTTTTCAAAAAAATATCGATTTTATATCTATATTAGCATTCTTGATCATTTTTAATACCTAGACATGTTTTAAAATGCAAATGAAAGCATTTTTGGTTTTGATCATAATAGGCTATTTTTAAAAAAATTATATCGATTTTATATCTATATTAGCATTCTTTATCATTTATAATACCTAGGTGTGTTTAAAAATGCAATTAAAAGCATTTTTGGTTTCAATCATAGTAGGCTATTTATAAAAAAATTATATCGATTTTATATCTATATTAGCATTCTTTATCATTTATAATACCTAGATGTGTTTAAAAATGCAATTGAAAGCATTTTTGGTTTGAATCATAGTAGTTTATTTTTAAAAATTTTTTATCGATTTTATATCTATATTGGCATTCTTTATCATTTATAGTACCTAGATGTGTTTAAAATGCAATTGAAAGCATTTTTGGTTTCAATCGTAGTAGGCTATTTTTATAAAAAAATATCGATTTTATATCTATATTAGCATTCTTTATCATTTATAATACCTAGATGTGTTTAAAAATGCAATTAAAAGCATTTTTGCTTTCAACCATAGTAGGCTATTTTTAAAAAAATTATATCGATTTTATATCTATATTAGCATTCTTTATCATTTATAATACCTAGATGTGTTTAAAAATGCAATTAAAAGCATTTTTGGTTTCAATCATAACAGGCTATTTTTAAAAAAATTATATCGATTTTATATCTATATTAGCATTCTTTATCATTTATAATACCTAGGTGTGTTTAAAAATGCAATTAAAAGCATTTTTGGTTTCAATCATAGTAGGCTATTTATAAAAAAATTATATCGATTTTATATCTATATTAGCATTCTTTATCATTTATAATACCTAGATGTGTTTAAAAATGCAATTTAAAGCATTTTTGGTTTCAATCATAGTAGGCTATTTATAAAAAAATTATATCGATTTTATATCTATATTAGCATTCTTTATCATTTATAATACCTAGATGTGTTTAAAAATGCAATTGAAAGCATTTTTGGTTTCAATCATAGTAGGCTATTTACAAAAAAATTATATCAATTTTATAACTATATTAGCATTCTTGATCATTTATAATACCTAGGTGTGTTAAAAATGCAATTAAAAGCATTTTTGGTTTCAATCATAGTAGGCTATTTTCAAAAAAATATCGATTTTACATCTATATTAGCATTCTTGATCATTTATAATACCTAGATATGTTTTAAAATGCAAATTAAAGCTTTTTTGGTTTCGATCATAGTAGGCTATTTTCAAAAAATTATCAATTTTATGTCTATATTAGCATTTTTGATCATTTATAATACCTAGATATGTTTTAAAATGCAAATTAAAGCATTTTTGGTTTCAATCATAGTAGGCTATTTATAAAAAAATTATATCGATTTTATATCTATATTAGCATTCTTTATCATTTATAATACCTAGATGTGTTTAAAAATGCAATTTAAAGCATTTTTGGTTTCAATCATAGTAGGCTATTTATAAAAAAATTATATCGATTTTATATCTATATTAGCATTCTTTATCATTTATAATACCTAGATGTGTTTAAAAATGCAATTGAAAGCATTTTTGGTTTCAATCATAGTAGGCTATTTACAAAAAAATTATATCAATTTTATAACTATATTAGCATTCTTGATCATTTATAATACCTAGGTGTGTTAAAAATGCAATTAAAAGCATTTTTGGTTTCAATCATAGTAGGCTATTTTCAAAAAAATATCGATTTTACATCTATATTAGCATTCTTGATCATTTATAATACCTAGATATGTTTTAAAATGCAAATTAAAGCATTTTTGGTTTCGATCATAGTAGGCTATTTTCAAAAAATTATCAATTTTATGTCTATATTAGCATTTTTGATCATTTATAATACCTAGATATGTTTTAAAATGCAAATTAAAGCATTTTTGGTTTTGATCATAGTAGGCTTTTTTCAAAAAAATATCAATTTTATATCTATATTAGCATTCTTGATTATATATAATACCTAGATATGTTTTAAAATGCAATTTAAAGCATTTTTGGTTTTGATCATAGTAGGCTATTTTCAAAAAATTATCAATTTTATGTCTATATTAGCATTTTTGATCATTTATAATACTAGATATGTTTTAAAATGCAAATTAAAGCATTTTTGGTTTTGATCATAGTAGGCCATTTTCAAAAAAATATCAATTTTACATCTATATTAGCATTCTTGATCATTTATAATACCTAAATATGTTTTAAAATGCAAATTAAAGCATTTTTGGTTTTGATCATAGTAGGCTATTTTCAAAAAAATATCGATTTTATATCTATATTAGCATTCTTGATCATTAATAATACCTAGATATGTTTTAGAATGCAATTTAAAGCATTTTTGGTTTTGATCATAGTAGGCTATTTTCAAAAAAAAATATCGATTTTATATCTATATTAGCATTCTTGATCATTAATAATACCTAGATATGTTTTAGAATGCAATTTAAAGCATTTTTGGTTTTGATCATAGTAGGCTATTTTCAAAAAAATATCAATTTTATATCTACATTAGCATTCTTGATCATTTATAATACCTAGATTAGTTTTTAAAAATGCAAATTAAAGCATTTTTGGCTTTGATCATTGTAGGCTTTTTTCAAAAAAATATCGATTTTATATCTATATTAGCATTCTTGATCATTTATAATACCTAGATATGTTTTAAAATGCAAATTAAAGCATTTTTGGTTTTGATCATAGTAGGCTATTTTCAAAAAATTATCAATTTTATGTCTATATTAGCATTCTTGATCATTTATAATACCTAAATATGTTTTAAAATGCAATTAAAAGTATTTTGGGTTTTGATCATAGTAGGCTATTTTCAAAAAAATATCAATTTTATATCTATATTAGCATTCTTGATCATTTATAATACCTAGATATGTTTAAAATGCAAATTAAAGCATTTTTGGGTTTGATCATAGTAGGCTATTTTAAAAATATCAATTTTATATCTATATTAGCATTCTTGATCATTTATATTACCTAAATATGTTTTAAAAAGCAGTTAAAAGTATTTTTGGTTTTGATCATAGTAGGCTATTTTCAAAAAAATATCAATTTAATATCTATATTAGCATTCTTGATCATTTATAATACCTAGATATTTTTAAAATGCAAATTAAAGCATTTTTGGTTTTGATCATAGGAGGCTGTTTTCAAAAAAATATCGATTTTATATCTATATTAGCATTCTTGATCATTTATAATACCTAGATATGTTTAAAAATGCAATTTAAAGCATTTTTGGTTTTGATCATAGGAGGCTGTTTTCAAAAAAATATCGATTTTATATCTATATTAGCATTCTTGATCATTTTTAATACCTAGACATGTTTTAAAATGCAAATGAAAGCATTTTTGGTTTTGATCATAATAGGCTATTTTCAAAAAAATATCGATTTTATATCTATATTAGCATTCTTGATCATATATAATACCTAGATATGTTTTAAAATGCAATTTAAAGCATTTTTGGTTTTGATCATAGAAGGTTTTTTTCAAAAAAATATCGATTTTATATCTATATTAGCATTCTTGATCATTTATAATACCTAGATATGTTTAAAAATGCAATTTAAAGCATTTTTGGTTTTGATCATAGGAGGCTGTTTTCAAAAAAATATCGATTTTATATCTATATTAGCATTCTTGATCATTTTTAATACCTAGACATGTTTTAAAATGCAAATGAAAGCATTTTTGGTTTTGATCATAATAGGCTATTTTCAAAAAAATATCGATTTTATATCTATATTAGCATTCTTGATCATATATAATACCTAGATATGTTTTAAAATGCAATTTAAAGCATTTTGGTTTTGATCATAGTAGGTTTTTTTCAAAAAAATCTCAATTTTATATCTATATTAGAATTCTTTATCATTTATAATACCGAGATATAATTTAAAATGCAATTTAAAGCATTTTTGGTTTTGACCACAGTAGGCTATTTTCAAAAAAATATCAATTTTATATCTATATTAGCATTTTTGATCATTTATAATACCTAGATAAGTTTTAAAATGCAATTTAAAGCATTTTTGGTTTTCGATCATAGCAGGTTTTTTCAAAAAAATATCGATTTTATATCTATATTAGCATTTTTGATCATTTATATTACCGAGATATGTTTTAAAATGCAATTTAAATTGACTGCCATTTTAAAAACTGTAAGATCTTTCCTCAGTGAAAGATCTTGCGCAATTTTTATTATAGGTCAGTTCTCAAAAATCAAGGTAATCTAATTCGGAGTGCCACAAGTGCTCGAAGTGCTTTAACCAACTCTTTACAACATCTTAACATATGATGTTGTAAGAGAGACAACCAACAATAACGGTCTTTTCGTAGATGATACAACATTGTATCATTCTGAAGAGAACTTGGCCGATATTGTGACACATCTACAGCACACAGGAAGAAAAGTTCAACAATACATGAACAAATGGAAGATCAACCTCAACAAACAGAAGACTTAAGTCTTATTCATCACAAACAGGCACTCCAAGTTACTTTCAGGAAATAACATCAACGTTCTCAACGAAAACATCAAATGGGAAACAGAAGCTAAATATCTGGGAATGGTGATCGACAAGAGAGTGACATTAAAGCCGCATGTGGAGTATGTGACCAATAGGGCTCAAATCGCATTAAGACAGCTTTATCCGCTCATCAGCCGGAACTCACAGCTCGACGTACGAAACAAACTTCTCGCATATGGTTGTCCAGCATTTGGAAGCATGTCAAAAATTCACCTTGAAAAACTTCAAGTACTGCGAAACATTATGTCACTAAAAAAATTGTTTTTAAATATAAGCATCTAAAATATAAAGAATTATTTTACAAGACAAGTAATTGATTTTTTTAATCGTATTTATTGTTTCGTCTAATTCGAGGCAATGGTTAATTTAAATTGATTTGAATAAGTATTCTCATTGAAATTGATATATAGACACAATGAAATTATTTTTTAGATTACATATTGATTATGAAAACTCAATGTTATATAATTTGTGGATAAAGAAATTTTTATTCGGAAAAAATTTAGTCTTCTGAGGAACCACCACCTTCTAAAATAGACTCAAATGCAAAAGGTTGAAATGCATAGCCGAGACCAGAATAGAATTTTGACTGAAACTCGACCCAATGAAGACGGAGAGTGTGCAAAAATGCTGACAATCCTTCCATCAAAACCAAGATGCCAACGGTTAAAACAGCCCAAAAAGCAAAAATAGCCCAAACTGCTACTCCGCCAATAGCACCTCCTGTTTTTAATCCATTTTGTAAAACCATATTCCATAAAACTTCAGCAAGTTCTAAAAAAAAACAAGAAAAAAGGTGAAAAAAGTGAAAAGAAAATAAATTTCGAAAGTAATAGAATTTAAAAAAATGTAAATTTACTTACGAGCATGAGCCAATGAAAGTGCCCATAGACGCAAATATGACGCAGTATGACTCACAGATCCCAATACATATTCGATAGTATGAATTCCTTGATGAATAAAGATTTCACTCATTTCTTCATTTCCATGACCTCCAGTTTGCGATTGATCAGCAGGTGGAACTGATTGTGCCCCACTATTTTCTACATCTTGTCCTTCACCGTTAAATGGCAAAATAGGCTGATGTTGTTGCTTCTTCCGTTCTTGCATTATAATAAAAGGCTTTGCGAAAAGCATCCATGGAATACAGATAAAGGCAGACAGAACTAATACTTTTTGAAGAAATTCTTGCCCTGCAAACATAAATGGAGTTTCACATGCTTCTGTTAAAACAGTTGACTTTTTAAACAAAACCATGTTGATAAATGTAATTAAAATAGACGGAGCACAATGAGCTGAATGAGGATCAGGATTGCTAGCAGAGTATTTAGTCCATTTGATAAACATCAGTGTTGTCATGTAGAAAAAGAGAAAGATTAGGAAAATCATTTGAGGAATGAATTCGGTGTATATGTTCATTGTATTCTTGAAATAGCGATGATTAAACAGTCCAACAACGACACCAAAAATCATATGTATAACGCCAAAAATAATGGAGATTTTCATCTTGTAAGCATTTTGGAATATGATTTTATTCATGGGTGCAACTTGCCAAACTGGATCCATTCCAATAGGATATGTTCGACCAAAATCATGAGCTGGATCTAATTGTAATGCTTTGCTATCCATGATTGTTGAAGCATCGTAGTTAATTTTCCATCCAGAACCAAAGACGTTAAGTGATTTTGAAAAAATATCGTTATAAATAAAACCGGTGTACATTGAAAATAATCCCATCAATAATATGATGTAACGTCCACCGAAAAAGATGTTCCAAATTTCGTTATCAGATTTTTTTGCTGCTAATGGTTTTTCCTTTAACACCATCCATAAGCCAAAAAGTGCCATGATTGCTCCATGTCCAAGATCACCAAACATGACAGCAAATAAGAACGGAAACGTTATAATTGTATATGGTGCTGGATTCATTTCACGATATGAAGCAACTCCGTAAGCGTTTATTAACATTTGAAATGCATTAGTAAATTTATTTGTGCGATTATATGTCGGTGGATCTTCATATGTTTCCATGCGATTCAAAATTGGTGGGACAGAACTTCCTGAGCGCTCTGTTCCTCTACGCAAAGCCATTTGAATTGTTTCCATGTCCAGTATCGGAACCCAGCATTCAGCAATCAAGCATTTTTGTGTCACGTCAAGATTAAACAAATTCAATGTATGATAAATTGCCTTTATCTTTCGAACTTTGATGAACCAGTTTTTCAAATTCTTGGCTGCTGCAACCAAAACACGATGACGATGATCCTGAGTCTGACCCAAAACAGTGTTTAGATCTTCAATTCTTGTCATTACACCCATTGCCATTTCTCTACGATCTGAGGGTGCTTCTGGGCAAGGATATAAAGTTGCACGAAAACCTTCACAAATCTTTTTAACACGTGTTTTTAATTGATCTCCTTGGAAGAAAATGATGAACACAGATTTGTACACGTTATCACCCTTAATAGAAATAAAAACTTATTATAGCATATTTAATTTTTATATCGACTTAATATCATATTACATTAGACGGGTCTTCTAAAGGAGCTTCGATCATTGCTTGACGTAAAAATACATTTCCACGACAAGCTCGCCATAGCATTCGTTCAAAGGCTGGCAACCTCTCACGCAAGATAACACCAGCAACAAAGCTAATAAAAAATGTTTATAGAAAATATATTATTATGTTTATAAATTAATATCCTACATAGTTTCATAAAAAAGCAACAAAGCAACTTAAACATATGCTTAAAACATTCAAAACGTTTAAAAGCTTCTTTCTGAGTTTTATATTGTAATATCAAAAAAAAAAAAAAAATAAAGAAATAAATGAGTTATTATAATTTTTTTGCTGTCAAAAACAGATAGAGTTTGAAAAGATAAAAACATTGGAAAAAACTCTACTTGCGATTAGTTTTTTGGGTCTCATAACTAAACTCAAAATTGCTTTATAAAAAAAATTATTATCTGGTTTGCTAAGGGGCAATTCACAAATGAAGTCTATCAAAAATGTCAAAATAACTCAATTATTTCATTATAACACAACCATAGTAACATCAATTTTCGAAAAAATAAAGAGAGGCAGTTGGAGTAATATATAAATGCACATATTAAACGAAGTTTTAGAATAAAAAAAATATTGAGCTAATCATTAATGATTAGTTTACATGATAAAACATTGTTAACAATTATAGTCGACAGCTCTTTACCATGGAAAGCAATCTTCCTCAGCTGACTGTTTATCCAGAAAACTTGAAATAATGATATTATATTTTTTAAGTTAGTTTGATTACATTTCACAAATAATGTTTCTTTAATTGTTTTTAAAGGTCATTAGTAAATGAATTCATTCCGGCTCGAAATAATGAAATTGAAGAAAAAAAAAAATAAAACAAAAAAAACATACCCAAGTTGAACAGGACCAAGAGTGTTCCCCATGCGTGATTCATCGGTAATTAAAGCTCGAGTCATCGATTCAGTGGGGTTGTTTATACCACCTTCTTGCTATAATAGTTTTTAATCCCCCAAATAGTTTTTGGATAAATTTTTTTACAATTACCATGAATTAAAAATATACATAAAAAGAAAAATGAAAAGAAAAAATAAATATATTGAATTTCAGGCGGTATATGGAGATTAAGAATGACCATAAAAATAAGTTTTTTCAATTGGGTATAGTTAATTAAATGTTAAAAAATAAATATGTTCAATTGAGATTGTTTTAGAGCCCCGAAAAAAAAAGTAATTATTTGTCAGGAAATTTTGCATTTATTTTGTTATTCTTATTATTTAGACTCGAACTTCAATTGAGAATTTATCTAAATTTCGATTTTGATTTTGTCGGGGCTCTTTATGATATGAACCATAATTAATTTAAAAAAAAAGTATAAAAAACAAATTAAAAATATTTAACAACCAAAATGTCTGTGAATAAATGTTAAACATAATTTTATCCTCCAGTATTTTCCATGCCAGTGTTAGTCAATGATTTTAAATATTTTTTTATGTATTATTAAAAAAAAGAATTCAGGTCCAAGATTTAAAAAAAAGTATCACCAATACTGACTTAACACTAAAAATAGAAATCCGATCAGAAAATATGTGCATTTAAAATACTCAAATTACGGCATTTATAGTTTTATCAAAGGAAAAGTTACTTTGCAAGCTTTCCCTAAGTCAAAGGCACACAGAAAGAAGCATATTGTTTTGTTAAAAAGTTTCTTTAAAAATACTTTTAGAAAAAACGATAATTCTAAACAGTGAACTAATGTATCACAGGAATTTACATGACACATTTTATTTACTACATTCAAAGAAATAGTTACCCAAGTTTTAAATTTTGCTGTTGTTGTCCGCGTGGCCCATCTTCTAATAAATTTAATTGCTCCTCTTCTCGATGAGAATCAGCCATCTGACATCGATTTAAGAATTTCACACGTAAATTTTCATATTTGAATGGACGAGAAGAGAATGTTGTTGTTAATTGAGAATGTCTATTGGCAAGAATCTCATGATATTCTGAAGCTGTCTACTTTAAGCAAAGCATTCCATGTTTTGCAACACAGTTTTTTTTGATATTTCATACAGAAATTTGCAAAAAGCAATTTTTGGTTTGTAAAAATCATAATAATTACAGCAATATTGTGTTTGTAAAATAGGTACATATAAAAAAAAATAAAAAAATAAATGAACAAATCAGCATAGAAAACTAAATTTCCTCCTTAACATTAGAGTGTTATCTTTTTTTGAAAAAAAAAAGACTAATAAGAGTCGATGACATTTCATTCTTTCAGCTTGGTTCGCATGAACTTTTTAATTATAGTTTTAACACCCACAATACAACACATAATCTTAAATCCAATTTGGCAATGCTAGTTTTTAATTTTACCATTTTTGTATGCAGATGTTTAATTGCTTGATAAGCCAAACCAAATATTATTTTTAAAAAATATAAACAACTTTCTAGAGAATTCACGATTTTAGAACCCCTACTTTGTAGGGATTCTCCCCACTTCAATGAGCTTCAAGCAAAAATATTTTATTAAAAACGTATAAAAATTAAAATAAGCTTGAGTGAACTTGATTGCATGTCTGGTAAATAACTAGATCTCCTTGACATTTTTTTCGGGACTTTCCCTAGTTATTTACTAGACCTTAGTATCAAGTGTCTATTCTTTCAGATTTAAAAAATTCACTAGAAAATAGGTTTTTAGGAGTAATGGAAAAAATATATTTTAATCACTAGAAAATATAATGCCGTAATTCAAATGAATGGAATTCCTATATTTTTATCATGTGATGGTTAATCACCAAAAGTATTTAGATATAAGGATTAGATTCAGATAAGATTTAAAATATTATTTTTTTTGTGTCAGTGACAGACCATGTGATGATTCTTCGTATTCTGATTGCAATATATATTTTTCTCGAACTACTTTCTGACAATATTCTAACTACGATATTAGCCATTACCTTATGGAGGAAAAAAAAGATTGCATGCAAATAACACTCAAAAAAATGTAAAACAAATAAAAAATAAAATAAGAATGATGAATGAGAATACTTTAATACTTTTTGCTTAAAAAAAAGTTTGAATGAGATGAATAAGGTTTTTTACGTTAACAAATGATTGGGTTTAGTAGGTAGTAAAGTACTTACAGGTTCATTATAAAAGTGAAGTCAACTCACCTCGTCGAAGAAAACTTGAGTCTTTCTAAGAATATGCTTAAGCTCAGTCAATTCTAAATAGTTCCTTTTCAAAGCTTCTGCATTTTGGTTTACTTCTCTTAACTCATTCTCCAACTTTTCGAATGTAGCTTCTAGATCTATCATCTCTCGTGGTTGCGGAGCTTCTGGATTTTCACCAGTATCTAGCATTGGGATGCCATCTTTTTTTATTTCTTTCTCGAGATAGCGCAATTTTCTTTCCATTTCATCGCATCGTCGAACTTCATTTACAAACTTCCTTTGGAAAGCGTTGACTGCACACGAAAAAGGAGAGAATTTTTAAGGAAAATAAAGAATACTTTAAGAAAATTTGTAGTTACTGTCAGGATTTAGGTCCCTAAACTGAACAAGTCCAAGTTCACCAAGTTCACTAACGCATGCATATGCAGCTTCACTTTGAAGAAAAAGCTGACACAATGTCATTTCCTCGCTACGAAATAAGGAGCCCATTTTTTGTCTATATAAGAAAATATACAATTAAAGGTTTTATAAATTAGATAATATATCAAAAAACTTTAGAACTTTTAAAGGAACAATGACGTCATTCTTGCGCACACGCAAAAACAGAAAAATAATCGATATTTGAAAATACCAATCGTTTTTGAATTAAAAAAACAGAATTATTAATTTAATTTAATATAAATAACTCACGAATCTTTAGCTACGAATAAGCAAACTAAAGAAAACTGTGAGTAATTTGAAACACAAAGGAATACTGATTCGAAAAATCTAAAAGATCCTATTTATATTTACCGTTCTCTTATCACCAAAAATATCGATTTTTCACGATAAATGCAATATATGGCAAAGAGATACTAAACTTCTTATAATTATCAGTTCAAAAGATCGATCTTTTTTATTTGTGTTTAAAATTGATAAAGATGAACGAATAATTATTACTAAAAAAATCAAGTAATGAATCAGCCAACACACTCAATTGCCAATACTATAGTGTTTTATACTGTAAAACAATACTTACTTATGTTTTCAGCGATTTTTACTGGCTCAAAAGTGGTATTTAAAGTTATTTTATATTTTTTTCAATCAGCACAAAAATTTTCACTAATGGATGCTTTTCACCACTTTTACACTGCAAAAAAAATATTCACCACTATAACGATTCTGTGTTTTTTAAACTTTAACTTGAAAACAAAATTTTTTTGCGGGAAAATTCATATTTATAGAAACCGTTTAAAAAAAACGTTAAAAATACGAAAATTCATTGAAAATCTATTTGAACTTGCTCAGATTAGCATTTATGAATCAAATTAAATACTGATCCTCGAATTAAATACTGACATGCAAACAAAATATTCATATATGAGCTTCGTCACAAACAAATTGTACGTGAATCACGCTATTTTCTTAATTGTTTCATTATCCTTAATAGTGACAAATTTAAGAGAATTAAAATCCCAATCTATTGTTGAACAATTCACTTCTTGAAACTTTATAATTACTCGAAAAAACAACTTTAACTAAGCGTTACTCACGAAAGAATTTTTGGGTATTTCACTTTTTCTTCATTCAGTTGCAAACTAGATCTCAACGAGATAAGAAGTGTTAACAAGCGACTCTGAATATTATTCAAATAATTTCAAGAGAACCAAAGCAGAATACCTGTGAAACTATTTTGTTCGAAAAAGGTTACAAAATCTCTGTTTGATACTCAAAACATCAACATGGTAGAATCACCAAAAAGTACCAAAATAGTTCTCAAAAACAAGATTCATCTTCAATAAAAATTCTCAATATTGAGAAAATTAACCAGAGTTTGAAAATAAAATGAAAATTGCTCTATTTTGAAAATAAATCAAAATGAAAATTATGAAAATTGCCAATTTTGATCAAAGCAATTTTGCAATTTTGTCAATTTCAGAAAATTGCAATTTTCTGAAATTGACAAAATTGCAAAATTGCTTTGATCAAAATTGGCAATTTTCATAATTTTCATTTTGATTTATTTTCAAAATAGAGCAATTTTCATTTTATTTTCAAACTCTGAAATTAACAGTGAAAATGTTTCACAACCATCCAACATTGAGATGCAAAATCACGGATTGATGGAGAATTTTCTCAATCAAGCGAGTAAAGCAGAAAAACGCTATTGAGAAGTGATAGTTCTCAGCGCGCCTTCTAAAAGAGAAACAAGCGTAAGCAAACTAAGAGAAGGTGTTGAAATACAACAATAACGTATTTTATATATTTGAATTACTATGTAATTTAGTAACTTTCTCACGGAACATTCCATTGTCGAATAAGGAAGACACATTGTTAAAAGTTAATATAATAAAAAAGAAGACATTTAAGTCTTTAATTAAACATTTAAACCATAACAGAAGGAACAAACTACTGTTTGAATTCTCAACAATCAGGGTAGCTCTGTTTTCTGAAAACCCGTTTCAATTTGGAGAAACTCCAGACCACTTCAGACAGCAAACAAAAAGATCGACAACTCCTTCCTACAGGTGGAGCTGGTGAAATCAAGAGGTTGACGAATGAAATAAAAAAATAAACCTGGAAGTTTCTTAATTGAGTCCAAAAAGGGCAAAAAAGGAACAAAAACGGTAACAACGAAGAGTTGTGATGACTACAAGAAATTCGTTCAACTACTCAAAGACAAAAAGCATCACTTCCACACATACTCCAGCCAAGAACCACTGAAGAAGTAAGTACTCTACGGACTCCCAGATATGGAAATCAGTGAGTTGGAGAAGGAACTTCAAACCGTAAAAATCACACCAGTAAAAGTTGTCAAAATGACAAAGAAATAAAGAAGACACAAACGAGACGACGACCAGAAATACCTCGTGTACTTAAAAAAAGATGTAGAACAAGGTGGAAACTTCCTGGAATTCCTCAGAAAAAAACAAAATTGTCAGCAGTTTTAAAATTAAATGGGCTGACTACAAAAATAGACAAACTGGACCATCTCAATGTTCGAAATGTCTGCAGTTTGGTCATGAACAAAACGGCTGTAACAAACCGTCCGTTTGCTTCAGATGCTCTGAGCAACATGACTCGAAAACGTGCCAGTACATATCGAAAGAGACCAACAAGGTTCCACTCGGAAAACTCAAATGTTTCTTCTGCGGTGAAAAACATACAGCAATTTTCACAGGTTGTAAAACCAGACAAGAAATAATAGAAAAGTGGAAATCAAAATCACAGAATGGAAACAACCGAAATCAAAACAAAACAGCAGGCCATTATTCATATGGACAACTTGGAAAACAGAGAAACAATCCTCAAATTCCGCATCTTCCTAAACGATCAACCAGTACACAAAAGCCTGTTCATCAAAAACAAGCTCCAGTCAACCACAAACTAAGGAACACAAATCCTCCCTGGGGCCCGTCAAAAATGAATTCTACGTCATCGGAGACCACTTTTTGTCATTTTTTGTGATTTTTTTCTATGAAACTTTATTTTGTTCTTTATTGGTATTATAGACAAAGAATAGGTATCGCCGAGACAAAGAATTTGACACCATTATCGTTTTCCTAGCATGTCTGGCTCCTTTTGTAGAGCCATTCGAATATCCACCAATGACGTAGAATTTTTGGGAAAGGGTATTTTGAGTGTAAACAACCTTTAATAACTTCTTTATTCCCAGCTTAAATTTTAGTTTTTCTGTACCAAATTGTGCTATTTCTTCTATTTGTTCATTCAAATTATCATTTTTATCAATAAAATGATTGGAAGTTAAATTAACACTTTAAGTTTCAAAATCTTGTAACGAATATAATTTTTTGAATTTTCTTGTATGTTTTTAGTCAACTTCTATTTTTTCGAAATTTGCTGAAAACATAATTAAAACGTAATACAACTCATATTTAAATATCGATAGTATGTTTCTAAGGTTCTATTTTGTGTTTTAAAAGAGATAAAGTTACAAATTCAAGAGTATTAATTAGATTTTCAGCTGATTAAAGTTTTGGGAATTTTGCTCGAAAATATGAGAAATTTTTGAATTTTATTAAACCGTTAAACTGAAATGCCTATTATTTTTGACGGGCCCCTATTGATTCACAGATTTGAGTTTAACGGTTTTGTTTAATTCAAATGTTAACGGTTTTCAAAATTCAAATATTCATCTAAAATTTCCATGAGAAAATGACTTGCTGAAAATGTTTTCTGATCAGATTTCTCAAAATGTACGAAAAAATTCTACATTAATTAATGTTTTCAGTATATATATACATCAAACAATATTGATTCATTTTCAGATTCATAAAGGTGTTATTAATTGATGTGAAAATTCATTAAAATTGTCTTTCATTGACATTGGATTATTTTCATAATTTAAATGTTTTTTTTTTACTATAATTAAGCATTTCTAAGCTCCACAAATGCTTGAATATTGTATTATCATCGAAAAGATACGTGCATGCAAAATTTCAGCTCGATTGGAGCAGTAGAAGTAGTCGAAAAATCGATCGCAAGATTTGAAATTTTTTGCAAACAAACAAACAAACAAACAAGAAAACAAGTTAAGAAAAACGTGGTAAAAAAAATGAAATGTAAAAAGTCACGAAAATATCGCTCAATAATGATTTAAAAGCTCATAAAATAGTCATAACAACTAATGTATCGTCTACTTTTGTATTCAAATCATAATATTTGGGAATATTGCACTATGGGGCAAAATGAAAAAAATCGATGACTCAAATTTTTTTTTGACTTTTTCGAGTTACGATCTCCAGGTGATTTTTTCTTGTAGAGGACATCAAAACTGGATTATGTTCCAAATTTCAGGTCATTTGGTGCTGTTTTTGCGATTTTGTGGCTGTTTGAAGTTGGAAAATGACGAAAATTTGAATTTTTTCATGCGTTACTTAAACTGCAATTTCTCTACAATGGCTAAAGATATTGAAAAAAGGTTTTCAGTTCCTAATAGGAACATTTTGATGTAACACAAAGTTTGGAAATTTGTAGTTTTGGTTCCGATACAGTACAAAGTATATGAAAATCCTATGAAAAATATCTTTAAACGTGCCGCAACTGTCCTAAACGGCCATTTTCCCCCGCCATAAACCATATATCAGCTCTTGTTTTCTAGTTTCCAAAACAGTAATAACATTGTAATTCTGTAGAGGACTAGAAAAGTTATCGCAGTTTAAGTGAGACGACAAATATTTTGCCAAAATTAAAATTTTCTCATAACTGTATAGAAAAAATAACCACAGATAAGGTTTGTTCTGTTTTTCAATGCAAAATGTTATTTAAAGATGACCTGTGAAGAATTTTTTTCAAAAAGTTCAAAATTTGTCGATATATAGGGTCCTTTTGATATCTGATGACTTGTATGTTTTTTTCATCACTCAAACCACTAGTACTCTTAGAAAATTAAATATTTTTGAACTTTGTTTTCAGTTTATTGCAGCTTAAATCAGTACCTTACTAATGATGTATAATACTAATGATGGCTTGTTTGTGAGCGACCCTAAACTAGAAAAAATCTCAAAAACGTCATTTATAGAAATACCACTTGGAAACAAAATTAAGTATTAAGTTTTGGTTTTTTATGATGATTTATGATAATTATGATTAAAAACACTCAAAAAATTGTATTTTATAAACTTTTGGCTATCTCAGGTAGCTTGTTTAAGTACGATCCTAGTAGTCTTTATTGGGTCAAAAATTCCCAAGTATTACACTATTTCTTGGATGCTTATCGGTTGATATTTCATATTTATACAGATTTTAAGCAAAATAAGTCAGTTTAAAATATTATTGTTTGATAAATTTTGGTTTTTGACTATTTTGTTGAAGTTTAGCTTGCGTCGGTCACATTCAATTTACTCCAGAAGCAGCTATAATGAACTTTCATACAAGTATTATACATCATTTTAAAGGTATTGATCTAAACTAGCAATAACCGAAAACAGAATGTAAAAATATTTTTCCTGAAAAAGGTTACAGCTCTTTATGTCCATCAAAAAGCCTACAAAAGCGCAACCAACATAGGTAAAAATACAAAAATTGAAATTTAAATGACTACTATTAAAGCAAATTGTTAGAAAAAGGTTTAATGTATTAAAGGAAATAGTAATAAAATAAATTTTTTGCAAAAATAAGTGTGAAATTTTCAATTTAGGGTCGCTCACAAACAAGCCTCATATTCATGACCAAGATCAAAGTCAACTATCAAGTATTATACATCATTAAGTAAGGTACTGATTTAAGCTACAATAAACTGAAAACAAAGTTCAAAAATATTTAATTTTCTAAGAGTACTAGTGGTTTGAGTGATGAAAAAAACATACAAGTCATCAGATATCAAAAGTACCCTATGTATCGACAAATTTTGAACTTTTCGAAAAAAATTCTTCACAGGTCATCTTTAAATAACATTTTGCATTGAAAAACAGAACAAACCTTATCTGAGGTTATTTTTTCTATACAGTTATGAGAAAATTTTAATTTTGGCAAAATATTTGTCGTCTCACTTAAACTGCGATAACTTTTCTAGTCCTCTACAGAATTACAATGTTATTACTGTTTTGGAAACTAGAAAACAAGAGCTTTGAACTGGTATATGGTTTATGGGGGGAACGTTTAGGACAGTTGCGGCACGTTTAAAGATATTTTTCATAGGATTTTCATATACTTTGTACTATATCGGAACCAAAACTACAAATTTCCAAACTTTGTGTTACATCAAAATAAAGGTCTTATATGTTACTATTAGGAACTGAAAACCATTTTTCAATATCTTTAGCCATTGTAGAGAAATTGCAGTTTAAGTAATGCATGAAAAAATTCAAATTTTCGTCATTTTCCAACTTCAAACAGCCACAAAATCGCAAAAACAGCACCAAATGACCTGAAATTTGGAACATAATCCAGTTTTGATGTCCTCTACAAGAAAAAATCACCCGGAGATCGTAACTCGAAAAAGTCAAAAAAAAATTTGAATCATAGATTTTTTTTCATTTTGCCCCATAGTGTATTGATTGAATAGTTATGAATTTTGAGAACTCAATTTTTAAAGTTGTAAGAAAGTGTCCTTTGAGCAAAAATCCTTAAAAAAACGTTTTAATAGAAATAAAAGCGTATAAAAAGTACCTATTTTTAACTTAATTGACATGTATTGTTTTTAGCTTATTTTTTCTAGGTCAATATTATTTTTGGCTGTCAGACTTAGCTGATTCACTGATTCTTGTCTCTATTGAATTCATATACGTAACTCAATTTTGAGAATGATGATAATGGAAATGTTGTAGTGCTAATAATAACGAAATAGTATTTTGTTTCATGAGAAGGCTTTAAAATCATTATTGAAAAAATGCGCTATAGCCGCAGAAATACAAACCATTAAAGACCTTTTACTACATTTTGGTCGAGATCCGGCGTTTTCAAAATAGAGAAAAAAATTAAAATCTTAATTTTAGGCATTTAAGAGTAATATTTCAGATAAAAAACTGCAAATAAACATTGAAGATTCGTCCTATTATGTCTCGCGACAATCATTTGTAAGTTTCTACATGTAAAATTTAATATATTAGAATATACTGTTTTTTTTTTGTTTATAATATTTCTCTTACTTTGTGTTTTATGTTTGATTTAGACGATTAAATGAAAGGCCCGAAAGGTCAACATCACGCTCAATATCAAGATTTCGCAAGTGCGTTACAAATATGCTCCTTCAAATCAACAAGAAAATTCAAATCAATAATTCAATCCAAAAATGTATATTTTTAGCAATGCTTCAAAATCTCACCATCGCTCACGTTCACCACCACTTTATAGATCATCTCCACCGTTAAAGTTCAAAAATATTTAATTTTCTAAGAGTACTAGTGGTTTGAGTGATGAAAAAAACATACAAGTCATCAGATATCAAAAGTACCCTATGTATCGACAAATTTTGAACTTTTCGAAAAAAATTCTTCACAGGTCATCTTTAAATAACATTTTGCATTGAAAAACAGAACAAACCTTATCTGAGGTTATTTTTTCTATACAGTTATGAGAAAATTTTAATTTTGGCAAAATATTTGTCGTCTCACTTAAACTGCGATAACTTTTCTAGTCCTCTACAGAATTACAATGTTATTACTGTTTTGGAAACTAGAAAACAAGAGCTTTGAACTGGTATATGGTTTATGGGGGGAACGTTTAGGACAGTTGCGGCACGTTTAAAGATATTTTTCATAGGATTTTCATATACTTTGTACTATATCGGAACCAAAACTACAAATTTCCAAACTTTGTGTTACATCAAAATAAAGGTCTTATATGTTACTATTAGGAACTGAAAACCATTTTTCAATATCTTTAGCCATTGTAGAGAAATTGCAGTTTAAGTAATGCATGAAAAAATTCAAATTTTCGTCATTTTCCAACTTCAAACAGCCACAAAATCGCAAAAACAGCACCAAATGACCTGAAATTTGGAACATAATCCAGTTTTGATGTCCTCTACAAGAAAAAATCACCCGGAGATCGTAACTCGAAAAAGTCAAAAAAAAATTTGAATCATAGATTTTTTTTCATTTTGCCCCATAGTGTATTGATTGAATAGTTATGAATTTTGAGAACTCAATTTTTAAAGTTGTAAGAAAGTGTCCTTTGAGCAAAAATCCTTAAAAAAACGTTTTAATAGAAATAAAAGCGTATAAAAAGTACCTATTTTTAACTTAATTGACATGTATTGTTTTTAGCTTATTTTTTCTAGGTCAATATTATTTTTGGCTGTCAGACTTAGCTGATTCACTGATTCTTGTCTCTATTGAATTCATATACGTAACTCAATTTTGAGAATGATGATAATGGAAATGTTGTAGTGCTAATAATAACGAAATAGTATTTTGTTTCATGAGAAGGCTTTAAAATCATTATTGAAAAAATGCGCTATAGCCGCAGAAATACAAACCATTAAAGACCTTTTACTACATTTTGGTCGAGATCCGGCGTTTTCAAAATAGAGAAAAAAATTAAAATCTTAATTTTAGGCATTTAAGAGTAATATTTCAGATAAAAAACTGCAAATAAACATTGAAGATTCGTCCTATTATGTCTCGCGACAATCATTTGTAAGTTTCTACATGTAAAATTTAATATATTAGAATATACTGTTTTTTTTTTGTTTATAATATTTCTCTTACTTTGTGTTTTATGTTTGATTTAGACGATTAAATGAAAGGCCCGAAAGGTCAACATCACGCTCAATATCAAGATTTCGCAAGTGCGTTACAAATATGCTCCTTCAAATCAACAAGAAAATTCAAATCAATAATTCAATCCAAAAATGTATATTTTTAGCAATGCTTCAAAATCTCACCATCGCTCACGTTCACCACCACTTTATAGATCATCTCCACCGTTAAAGAGATCAAGATATCAACGGGAAAGAAGTCATTCGATTGAAAAAAATGGACATCGACGTGGCCCATCACCTACCGATATTAGAAGAAAAAATCCAGTGAGTATATTGTTCATATATAAAGAAAGGAGAGAAAAAAATGATATCTCTTAAATATAGCTACTGTGAAAATTTACATGTAAATGTATGATTATTTAGGATCCCTCAAAAGTTTTGGGCGTTTTTAACTTGCATGTCAAAACAACTGAAAGAGAAATTCGTGATGTTTTTGATCGATTTGGTCAAATTGATGATATTATAATGGTAAAGGATGCAAAAACAAGAGGATTTCGAGGCTATTGCTTTATATATTATAATAAGCAACGAGATGCGACCGAGGCCTTAAGTCAATGTAATGGAATAGAGCTCAAAGAGCGTATGATAAGAGTTGATTATTCTCTAAGTGAAAAACCACATTCAAGCACGCCAGGTGAATATCGTGGCAAACGAGGAGGAAATGTTCGCGTAGGGAGTTTTCGCTCAAGACCATATGAGAGAACACGTTATTATGAGAAGCATGATAATGATCGCTTTAGAAGACAGCGCTCCTCAGAAAGATCTTTTCGAAAGGATGATTACAGAAGACGCTCTAGAGAACGAATTCCAAGATCAATCGATGATCGTCATAGAAGAACCTCGCGATCCCCACGTGACAGATACGATAGATACTAGATATTTCGCATTCAAATATGCATATTGAAAATCTATCATTTCTAAAGCAATTATTTTTTTACTACTTATTTTCCTTTTTCAACAATATTCTTTATATTAATTAAAATTTAACGACCAAAATTACTAAATTGTCTGATCTTTATTATTAATCCGATATCGTTTTTATTTTTCTTACCTAATCGTAATGAAAACCTTATTTCTTTACAAATTCTAAATTGCTTAAACTAATAAATATAAATAAAACCTTGAAAGAGCACTTAATTACCCATACCAAGGAATACATTTATTTGAATTGTATGATTAAAAACATGTTTGAAAAAATGGCGATTTAGGTTTTTTGAAATTTTTCGTTACTCTCAAATATTAAGTGTGTTCAAAATATTAATTTGAATAAAAAATTTTTTTTATTAAAATCAATTTTATCTATTTTTTTACAGATTTATTGTTGGCAACAAACAGTTTGCATATTTAATACTAAATTACCGACTGAAGAAAAAAAATATAAACATTTCATGCCAATTATCGTTTTTAATCATTCGAATCTTAAAAAAAGTTATCAGCAAATTATGAAACTATTTGACTCATTTAAACTAATATTTGAACCTTGTATGATTTGTAATCTATTCTTTATGCAAGATATTACTTTTGGTTTTGGATAGATTTTTATATTTTGTGACAGTTTCTGAGTAAAGGAAACATAATTCCCCAATAAAAATTATATCTGAAATAATGTGTCCTTAGAAAGGCATACATTTTTTTGATGAGATCTTCTGTGGTAGGCACTGGACCAAAAAAAGACGTGGTCAAAACATGTAAATTTAGAATTTATAAGGTTTTTATCCTAATAACGTATCCTACCGTTAAAAACATTTTAACTTAATTTTGTTCTTGAGTATGTTAACGCAACAATTTTAAATTTTTTATGAAATTAAACTTAACAGAAAGCCCAAAAAATTATATTTTATGATATATCAACAAATAAAAATGAAGATATAGCAAATTTCTCAAAATTGCACGTGAGAGACGCTTTTAATTGGAATGATATTCCGATGAAGCAACGGCTTAACTTTGAAGAAGGAACTTTATTTTAAAAGATGTTAAATCTCTCTTTCCGGAAAAAATAGCTTTCAAAATTTTCACTTTTAAGGGAAAAAAGGAAATCAAGCGTCACTCACAAGTTACGTATGTTTAAAGTAGATAATATATATAATTATAAAATACAGTTTTTAATTATTTTATATCTTTCTTATGTTATGACAATGATTTATTTTATTAACAAATATTGATCGTTGCGTCAAAAACGGTCTGAAATCATCCGATAAAGCAAAATGCCTTTGTATATTTTTAAATTTATATTTATTTCTTTCATAAAAGAAAGAAGAAATTTTAAGAATTGATATATTCTAATAGAACTATAATATTTGTAAAATATTTTAATAAATTTGTCTTTTCATTTAAATTTAAATCAGTTTCAAGAGTATATCACTTATGTTAAGGGCAGTTTTTAGCCAGCCGTGTATGTATTTTGTCCGGCATATTCTATACTCAATACATGGATATTTTTCTCCCTATTTTTTTGCGTTCGTCCTACCCATAAACATTCTCACACTTTCCTTGCTTTGTGAGAGTAATATAAAACGGATTTTTTCTTTTCTTTAAAGGCTAGTTTTTTAGAAGCTTTTGGTAACACAACATCGCGATCGCACTGATTTATTTAATTTTTGTTCTTAAAAAAAAATAAAAATAAAATGGAAATACTTTCTGAAAACGTTCATTATTCAGAAAACTATATCGAATGTATTTACGATTATAATACAACTTTTGTAGCAAAATCTAATGGAAAATTACTCGTAAGTATAATTCTGCTTATTATTATATATTATTACTACTAATTTAATGAAAATTTAAATGGATGCTAAATGATTTAATAATAATTTTACTTGAGAAATAATCTACGTATATCGAAATCTATCATATAAAAAAAATAGTATTTGAGTGTCTACCTGTCTTAAAAAGATTTATTGAAATAAGACATAAAAATTAGAAGAAATGCTATTTTATATATAAAATTTCATCACTATATTTAAGCTCAAGCGATTGGTTAAAAAGAACCATGCCATTCTGACAGTGTCAGACAATTGCCTATTGATAAGCTTTAAAAAAATTATCATCATTTACTGTCTCAAACATTTGTTTTGTCGCAAAAAAAATTAGAAAACGTGATGTAAGCGTACTCTTAAATATTTTCATATCAAGTAGAGATTTTTGACATCGGTTCTTTTAAAATAATCATTGATATTATAATTTTTCGTTCTACATCCGTGTTGTTCACATGATAATTTTGATTATTAAATTTTTCTTCTTTTTTTTCTGTGATTCATTTAGGTGCAGCCAATTACAAAGAAAATTGATATACGTACGGAACGCAACGTACCAAAAACGGGTGTAATGTTAGTTGGTATGGGAGGAAATAATGGATCGACATTAATTGCATCTCTTGAAGCAAATAGATCAAAAATGTTTTGGCGCACTAAAGATGGAATCCAGGATGCAAATTGGTTTGGATCAATAACTCAATCATCAACTGTTTTATTGGGATCTGATATAAACTCAAAAGATGTCTACATTCCAATGAACGAAATTGTGCCAATGGTTAATCCAAATGATATTTATGTAGATGGTTGGGATATTAGCTCTTTAAACATTGGTGACTCGATGAAGCGTGCGAAAGTACTTGATATAAATTTACAAGACCAATTGTATGCAAAATTGTCGAAAATTATTCCTCGTCCTTCGATATATGATCCAGATTTCATAGCAGCAAATCAAGCCGATCGAGCAGACAATTTGATTCAAGGTACTAAATACGATCAGTTCATGAAAATTCGAGAAGATATTCGCGATTTCAAGAGTAAAACCAAAGTTGACAAAATTATTGTGCTCTGGACGGCAAACACGGAACGATTTAGTGACGTACGAGAAGGATTAAATATTACAATGAAAGAGCTAGAAGAATCATTAAAAAAGAATGAAAACGAAATTTCTCCTTCAACAATTTTTGCTATGGCTTCTATTGTTGAAGGATGTATTTATATTAATGGTTCGCCTCAAAATACTTTTGTTCCTGGAGTTGTTGAAATGGCCGAACATTATAATGCTTTTATTGCTGGTGACGATTTTAAATCGGGCCAGACAAAACTAAAGTCAGTTTTAGTCGATTTTCTTGTTGGAGCTGGAATTAAACCCGTCAGCATTGTTAGTTATAATCATTTAGGAAATAATGATGGTAAAAATCTTTCAGCACCTTCACAATTTCGTTCTAAAGAAATATCAAAAAGCAATGTGATTGATGAAAATATTTCAAGTAATGAAATTTTATACAAGCAAAATGAGCAGCCTGATCATTGCGTTGTTATTAAATATGTTCCATATGTGGGAGACAGTAAAAGAGCTATGGACGAGTATACAAGTGAAATAATGATGGGTGGACATAATACTTTAGTAATTCACAATACTTGTGAGGATTCACTTTTAGCTACTCCTTTAATCCTCGACTTGATAATTTTGGGTGAACTGTGTTCGAGGATTGCAATTAGAGAACATGGTGAAGGTTCAACTTATGAATCATTTAAATCAGTTTTGTCTCTTCTGTCTTATTTGTGTAAAGCACCTTTAGTTCCAAAAAATACACAAGTTGTTAATTCGTTGTTTAGACAGAAAGCTGCTATCGAGAATATTCTTCGTGCATGTGTTGGACTAACTCCTAACAATCAAATGGCTTTAGAGCAAAGATTCAATCTGACACTTTATCCCCCTAACTTAATCAAAAAACCTCTAAACTTTGAGAAACTTGAAAATAATCTTATTCATACTAATGGTTTTCATAATACAACAAATGAACATGGTGATTATCAAAATGGACACTAAAGTGCTATTTATTAAATTAATAATTGAAAAATTCAGTTTCTTAACTCTCTTCTTTACATTGACACATAAACAAATGTTTTTAAACACATCTTGAAATAAATTGATATTAAAACATATTTTAGACATCAAATGTAATCTACATAAAATAAAAATAAATAATTTTCAAAATAATCAATCATTTAGAGATTTAATAAAATATATGAAATTATTAATATAGTTGTCAATTTTGAACGATTTTTCTTATGGATATTCGCTAATGTTTAAATATGCCCTTGCAGAAAACTCAAATCAGTAGATTTTCGAAAACATTGTAACGTTAAAACAAATACCTTTAATAAAACAGATTTATATAGAGGACAGGAAATATTTAAATAGCATAATTTTAAATAATGTTAAATTATGGACTTCAAGAAATCTAGTTTTAATTATTAGGATTATAAAAAGTAGTCAATATTTTATTATGAAGATATGTATTTATTTTAAAAGAAGCGTAATTTCTATCCATAACGCAAATGTTAGCTACAGTTTGAATCTGGAACAAAAAAATAATATAAATATAACGTTTCAAATATCTTTAATGAAGTTTGCAACACACACAAAATAAAAGTTTTTTTATAAAAAAAAATAATTTTTTATTGTAAATCATTGAGTCACAACAAAATGAATGAAAAACTTTAAATTTTTGCCATACCACGTGCTAATGTCGCTTGAGAACTAGAAAATGAAGAGAGCAATTCCATGACAGATTATTATTTTGTTCATGTGATATTACTTTTTATATTCAAATCACAAGAAAATCTCTTTAGCTGATTCATGAGAAGCTCTCTTGAATTTCTCGTTCATCCATTAGTGGATTGATTCACTTTCTTAAATCATGATGAGACTTCACATTGTTGCAATTAAACTAGAAATGAAAGAGAGCAAACCCATGACAGATGTGATTGTTTCATTACAACTAGTTATTGATATGTTGTAAAGGTTTATATAGCTGATACATGAGAAGCTCTCTTACTCTTCACGTTCATTATATTTCTTGTAGAGCAATTTCACCTGTATCACGACTTAAATTCAACTGATTCTCCACTTTACATATTTTATAGTCGAATATGAACTGTTTGTTTCTTATCGCCTTGAACAAACTAAATGAAAAAAAAAATGTGAAATAAATATATTATATGTATTTTTGAGTCTTATCAAGTTGAAATACCGAAATAACAGAAAAAAACACTGTTCTTTATCACCTGTAAAAAAACTCGAATACAATGCAAACAATAATTTAGTTGTAAAGAAAATTTTTCTCCCACTTAATGGAGCACACGAGTGTGAAAAATCTTTTTACATAATCACAAGACTTTTAATCCAGCCATCTCAATGTTAGAATGATATGCACATTAATATTTAAAGATATGTTTTCTTTCAAAGTTGTTTTTCACAAATAATGTAAGATTGAATGGAAATGAAAAAATGTGATAATTTTAACAAAACGAATCTTTTAAAGGCTAAAAAAATCATATAAGAGCATTTAACACTATCATTGACGCACTTTAAATAATACAAAATGTAAATAAGGCTTGGATTTAAATTAATAATTAGACGTTAAATATCGACGATCTTCACGAAATTTAAATTTTCATTCTTTAAAATAACATATAATGTCTACTAATAAAAGACTTATTAATTCTTTCAACCAATAAAATTGAGGATGTTTTTTTTTTTTCCTAGAGTCTCAAACGATTGATAATGTCAATTTTTGACATTTTTAACACACTAAATTAAATTGCGTGTTAATGAAACAGATAAAAAGACAAATTGAGTACTTTTATAATCTTATCAACTTTTTTTTATCTAAAAATTCAGTTTTTAAAAAAAAATTAAAAAAAAGGGCACTTTGTAAAATAAATTACATTCTTTTTTATGTTCAAATAACTTTGTACATTTGATCAAAAGACGATTTTTCAAGTGTATAACTCACCACGTGCTTAATTTATTGAATAAGTTGATAAGGTTGATTCATCATTACGATAAAACAAAAATATTCGTGTATGTCTGTGACGCAAAGTAAGCTTATATCTTCATACGAATTAATATTTGTTCAGATGAAAAAGCATGCATACACTGTATTTACGAGAAAAGTAAACAAATAATACCATAATTTTTTCATGTTTAATTTAAATATTTTATATCAAACTTATAAAACAATAATCTTTTATCTTAGTTGAGAATTCATTATTTAAAAAATCCTACTATGAGCTCGTTGCAAGCGTATGAATTATCACGTTTCTCGAAGAAAACTGAAATCTTTCGTAAAATAAGTTAGCACAAATAAATTGTTGAAAATTGAAAAAATCAACAAAAATGAGCTATCGATAAAGCCTCTTGATATCGCATATATACAGATATATAATATTTTTCTCTCTCAAACTACCGATTCACTAATTAGCACTTGCGTTTCAATCTTTTTTTTATCCATTCTCTTGCCCTGTGTGTTGTCGATGACTGGTTTCTATTTTAAGCTCTCCAAGTTTCTTAAATACTTCCCCTTCTCAAAAAATAAATGTGTACATAGTGACTTAATACACTTATTGCTCTATTGTTGTATAAATGATAAGGACAAGATCTTGTCATCATAAAACTGTCGTAATGTGTAGACACATACTTTGTAGGGATGTAGTCAGTCAAAGAGCTTAGAGACTTTTAAAGCGTTAAACAATAATTATTAAATCGTCTAGATTTATTAGCGATCAAAGCTTTAGCCCAAACAGTTTTTTTTAAACATTCATTATAATTATTAGCATCTTGAATAATCCGTATCTTTCAAAAAAGCGTTCATTTTATTCGTTTATTTTTGAAAAAAGAATAATAATTATTACTAGGCAAATATCTGAGTTAACATCTCAGAATTTATCTTAAAGTAAACTATAGATAAAAAAAGGTAAAGATACTGCATTATAAAATTTGATTTATTTAAAAATGCTCTGTATTCAATTCATATGACAAACTAAGAATTCCATTTTTCATTTCCAACTATTTCTTCCTTCAAAAACGCTTTAGTTCGGGCCAGTTCGGGTAAAAGACACTTTTCAAATTTTATCTTCATTCACTTCAATACGGAAAAAATTTAGGTTGAATTCTCTCACAAAACTTCATATGGCTTCACACTAGGGATTTCAATTGCAATTACTAAACTAGTGTATCGGGTAGAAACCCAATGCGGATATATTCACACCGTACCATCAAAAGTCTTATGGATAGACTAAGATTTGCTCAGCATTAGTTTGAAGGTATAAAGCTAGCGAGTCAGCTGAGCTTCGCTCAGCATGAGTTTGAAGGTATAAATCTAGCGAGTCAGCTGAGCTTTGCTCAGCATACGTTTGAAGATTTAAAACTTAACGAGCATTCTTTAAAAGGATGCTGGGTTATAAGTCCAGAGATTATAAGTCCAGAAAATCAAAGTGACTAAAGGTTTATAAGTCCAGATACAAATTGCACCTGGATTTAAAAACCTCACGTGCAGTTTATAAGTCCAGGTACAAATACAGCTGGAATTATAAACTGCACGAGAGGTTTTTAAGTCCAGGTACATTTTATATTTGGACTTATAAACCTTACGTGTGGTTTATAATTCCAGAAATTTTTAAATTTTACTAATAATCTCCCAGTGCGATTATAAGTCCAGATACATTTTTCTGGACTCACATTTGATAATTTTTTTCCTCTAAAGTACCTTATATATCCTTTTAACCTGCTGTATTTCATTATACCCCTTATTAAGATTTTTCATGTCTTAATCAAGGACAAATTTCAATTCTTTGGAATTAAAAATTAAAAGTCAACTAGTGTATCGGGTAGAAACCCAATGCGGATAATATTCACACCGTACCATCAAAAGTCTTATGGATAGACCAAGATTTGCCCAACATAAGTATGAAGGTATAAAACTAGCGAGTCAGCTGAGCTTCGCTAAGCATATGTTTGAAGGTTTAAAGCTTAACGAACATTCTTTAAAAGTTTTTTTAAAAAAAATTTTTCACCCAAAGTTTAATTTTATAAAAATCACAGTGATTTTTTGTTTTGAAAAATTCGTAAGAAAGGAAAGTTTTTTGCTTTTCTGAAGCAACGGCTGTTCCTACTTTACACAAAAACAATACAGCTCTTCTATAGAGCAGCACGGATCAAATGTAAAAAACTAGAAGTCTCTACGATGTATCGTTATTGAGATTTCTTGCTGATTAACTTGCATGCTTGTTTGCTTGCTTACAGAAAGCGTATTTTGCAATTTTCTCAGCAATGCCGCAACCAATTTGAAATCTGTTTTTTGCAAATGATGTAAAATTTCAGGCACAAACTTTTCTTCAATGACCTTTTACAGCAATTTTATTTTGCTTGCACACGTGAAAACGGTGTGAATATAATATTTGTTTTTTTTTTGCCACTATTTGGCCCAAATTATTTTGTATCACATAATTGTTATTAAAAATTAAATATGAATTTTTTTTCGCAAAAATAAAATCAAAATTTTTCATAAAATTTAATATTTGATATTTGTTATAGTTTGATCAACTTCCAAGGAACAACTTTAAACTCTTCAACGAAAACATTAAATGAGAATAAAAAAAAATATCTGGGAATGGTGATCTACAAGAGAGTGACATTAAAGCCGCATGTGAAGTATGTGATCAATATGGCTCATACTGCATTACGACAGCTTTATCCGCTCGTCAGCATAAACTCACATCTCGAAGTACAAAACAAACTTCTCATCTACAAGCCTCCCACAAGAATATTCACATATGTTTGTCCAGCATTTGGAAGCTTGGCAAAACCCACTTACAAGATAAATAAAAAGCGAAAAAAAAGATCATCTTCACACAGAAGCAAAAATACCGTTTATTGAGGATTACGCCGAAAAGTTGAAAAGTTGCGAACTTCAACAGTCGTCTTTCGTCTCAAAAAACCGAATGAATCAAATTAAATTAATTGATAGAGGGACTTAAGCGCATTTTTGTGTTAGCGATCAGCATTTGATTGTCTATTTATTTTGCGTTCATTTACAGATCATTAGAAGATTAGAAGATCATTAATTTTAGTACAATTAGCAAATAATTACAATGAATGCTTTTATAGAAAGGCTTTGTTATTTAACGGTCAAAAAATAATTTGAAATTTTCCCGCTAAAAGTTGCAATTCAAAAACAATAACTATAGTATAATTAAATAATTTGTTCTAATGAATTT